CGCTATTCGGACACTTATAATAATAGTCGGTTTTCTGTCGAAGGTAAGCTGTATTTTGATATATACTGGAATTTAAGGCTTGATTATGTTATAGAAATAAATGTCATAATTCTTTGAACCATATTCTAGTAACAGCTGGGAAATTTGTTGCGCATGCGCCAGATTTCGATTAAAACTTGAAAATTTCCCCGAAGAAATATTACGAGATGTTCGTGGTTGTTGTATATTTTTGAATGCCTGTTTAATCTTTATACTTTTTTTGCTTGAGACAAAGACAAAGTAAAATGTACTCTACGTTTCCAGTGTATAGAATATCTCGTTTGAACAGCAATAGAATATTATAATCTTGACACAAACAAGAAGACGCTGTGACACGCTAAATCTGTAGTCAAGCCTGACTAAGGTATAAAAGCCAATCGTCGCGAGCTTGACAGCCTTGTCAAACGCAAAACAAGTACAAATTTGGGTTCAAACAGAAAGAAGTTCAATGTTAATACAACTAACATATATTCTATACAAATACGGGTGGTTTAAAATGTTTTCAATTGAATTTTCAAAGCTTTTATCTATCGCTATGATAATCAAACTGTGTGTGAACTTGATGCCGCAGTTTTGTTGACGCTTGCGAATGCAAAATAACTTCCCGTAAACAGAGCATTTCTACACAAAACTCTCGCTTAGTCTTCTGATGCACTTGTACGTTCGGTTCTACTAGTTAAACAAGGAAAATATTCAAGAAACACTGTTAAATTATCGTTGTCAAAAAACATTTCAGTGCTGAGGCAGTACAAGGTCTCAAGGGCAAGGTCAAGTTGTCGATTTCATTACATTTTACAGTACTTCGGAATGTTTTCGAACTCTTGCTTCATACAAGAGCAGTAAACGCACGCATTTCAAAGCGAAATTAGACGCAAAGGGGCAATTTTTCAACAAAATTCATTGTTAAATTATGTTTCCTATGTGCCTTGGGAGCAAAAAAATATGATTTTAAATTTGGAGGAATCGGTAAATTTTTTTTCAATTTGGCCTGGTATTGCACCCTACCTATGTAATGACTGTGTTGTAAAAGTAATCAAATATACTATTTTGAATTTCCCTTCATTGAAAGGATCTACTATTGTGGACTAAACTAAATTTTAATCAGCATACAAGGCTGCAAACAACAGCCAAGAATTAGCTGGGTAGTTTGCAAACTTTAAAAATAATTGGACCTCAAACTTTGATCCCCAAAAGTAAACAAATGGCCAATACTGCGAACATAATCCAAGTTTTGACCACTAGGGGCAATTTTTAGATGTACAAAAACTTGTTTAAATTACATATCAAACAAAGGCAAAACAAAATTTGGTATTAATTTTTTGGAGGAAACGTCAAGTTTTTTTGCTATTCGCGCACGTTTCTACACCCCCTCCCTCAGGATTTTCTCTATCAGAAAACAGTTTTCTGCAGAAACTATGCTTTTTAATCGGGAAAATTTTTGCTTTTCTCAAAAAATACTTTATAAACACGGAAACCTTAAATATTTAAATAATTTTCATACCTTTTTGGGATTGCAAAAAGCAAAATTTGATTCATTATCACACTTTTTAAAATATATGTGACAAAGTTGCTTCGAAATCACTATCACGCAGTAGCATGTTTATTTACCCTCATCCTTTTGACTGAATAAAGTTTATCTTTTTGAAAAGCTATTTGTTTTATAGCTCTTGGTTAGCAGTTTACGTTTATGTCGATTTTGGCACCCATGAGGCCAACACGTTCTGGTATTCTGCGAATGAAAACTGATATTCGAAGAGCACAAAAGCCAACTCCTAGCTATGTAATTTTATCGCCTGAATTTTGAATCAATCCACAATTAATTTTCTGGTAATGTAGATGCTTTCCATACTTGAGATGTTAGTGAAGTTTTTCCAACAATTTAATTTCCTTGATCGTCGTCTTAAAAATGCAAAATCATAAGTTGAAATTTCACTCGTGTTGTTTTTTCAAATTTTCGAATTTTTGTAAAATATCGCGTGCGCCAGCAATTTCTCTGCACAGCGACAACAAATTTCCCAGCTGTTAATGTCTATATGTTTATAATAGTTTTGTTTGTGGAAACACCACGTAAATTTACGTGGTGTTTCCACAAACAAAACTATTATATGTTTTATCGCCATGTAAACATACAAAGAACTTATGTCTATATGTTGTTTTGAAATATTAAACTGAAGGTTTTCACTGGTTCAAACTGGCATTAGCGAGCTTTACTTTACTTTACTTTACTTTAATTTAACTACGTCGCGCAAATCCCATGTTGGAGGAACAAGAAATATGGCAGCACACACTTAAATTAAAAGTTTAATGTAAAAAGGTCTATATTTCACTGTTGGTCGTCTAAAAAGTTGATATTTGATAGTAGATATTTGACGCCTGTCACCATATATTTTGTCCCTCCAAACGATCCCATGCAGAATGCACTGTGATCTCTTTTGGGAAAAGGCTAATACCAGTCATCTATATTTGTCGCCGTGTACTCGTAGTCGAATGGCTAAATTTTCCGAACATTCTGCCACTGACAAGTGAAGATGATCTGTCACTTGACAAGGATGTAGAAGTTAATGACCAATGAAGTCGTCATCTTGCGTATTCAAATTCCCCTTCAATATGAGAGGGATATTTGTCTCCATGGAATACAAGAGGGTTAAGAAATCAGCTTACAAACAACGGGCCCCAAGTCTTAGAAAGTCAGAAGATATAGAAAGATCTATAAGACTATAAACATCAATTTCGCAAGAAAATGTCACGTTTTGTTCTTTATTCTAAATGCACAGCGCACCGCGTTTCAAATTGGTAATCATGACCAGACGTTTACGAAAAGGAAAATAAGCGTTGCATGAAACAACGAGACTCAGATATTAATAAACTGAAATAAATGTAAACACTAATGTGGTATGAAAGTGCTTTGCGTACTTCCGTGTTTAATTAAATTTCGGGACACATTTACGACCCGTTCAGATTCCGTTTTTGAAATGTATGATTATTACACACTAATTAAAGTATTTACTGCCATACAATATTGAATTAAATATAATAAATATATGTCACGGAATATATCTCAATTTCCAAAACGAACTACACAAATATCAGTTGTACAAAGAGACCAGTCATACGGAGTTCAGTAAAATTCACGTTATAATACTACAACAGTATCGCTCAGACTGAATTCCTAAAACGCACAAGACAATAATAATTGCTCACTAGCAATCTGAAACATTAAAGTTACCTTTTGCCAATAATAAAACCCCAAGAAAAACGAAGAAACAAACGTATCTCCTTGAGAAATCCATTTGAAGTTCACAGCTTGTAAACTACGTCATATTCTGCTAGCGGATAAAGAGAACTTTGGATATCTAGATTTCAAACGAAACACAATATAAAGAGGTTATGAACTGCAAAAAGGATGTAGGCACTTGACAAAGCAACGAGGTTGAGCGAACTTTCAATTTCCGTGTTCAAAGAAACACGCCGTTTATTTCATCTTAAAAATGTGGTTTATCATGATATATATTTACTATAATTTCATTAGGAAATAATATGTTAGTTTGGTTTAAATAAACAAGCCAAGCCCAAGGTTTAATGGATACTATAATTAACAAAGTTAAGTGTCATTTGTGGGGATTGTGGGAGGTTTTAGACGGAATTCTTAACCAATATAAGTTATATAACTGAAAATACTTTTGTTTTTATAAAAAAACATCACGTGTATTTATTTGGCAAAACTTTCGATCGGAAGCTCGAATCTTTATCAGTGTAAATGAGATGTTTCAACAAAAAAAATGAAGCAGTTATATTTATCGCTACGACAACATACAATACCAGGCCAATATTGGTTTCAGGCGGTGACAAGACTTCTTAATATAGCTTATCAAAATAGCTTCAGTCTCATGCAGATACTACACATTACTAGCAGTTCAGGTGAAACCCTGATAAGGGAGTTGAACGATCGATCTGAAATCAGAGCCATATCGGGCAAAGTGTGGACAATCAATAACGATTAACGAGCCGAGACTGATTCGAGGTCGATCTGAACTGGACGAGGTGGTCTACGGTCAGTTCACGTTTTACTTAGGAATACGTCACGTAATTTTCAAACAATGAATTATTGACCAAAAAGTATCCCACAATGCATTGTGCATCCCAGAAATCCTCTGTATCACAAATCGCGTGACGTAAGCACTTCCAAAGGTCTATTTCTTGCTTAGCAGCCTAGCAGTTTTTCCGCGCTTATTAATTCATTCAAGTTTTTGTGCAAATGTAGAAACCGGCGTCAGATCGTTTTGTGATCGCTCTAATTTAGATCCATCTTAAAGAGTACTATAAGTGTGAATAGTCCCCAGACTACTTCGTAACATGGTTACTTACTTGCTTTGCTAAAACGTGTACGGATCCGAGACCACCACCTCTAGAGGTGGATTGATCTTGATTCAGTCTCAGCCTCGTTGTTGGTCGGTCCAAACTTGGCCCGATACAACTCTGAATCGGCTTGGGATCGATCTAAATTGTTAGTGTCAACGACCTAATTTTTGTTCAAGCACAATTAATATCGTTTACTGGCGTCTACTTCTTTTAGATATTTCACGTTTAAATTTACAGCCGCTTGTATGTATATACAAACATAATATTGAAACATCATCTTAATGTAGTTTTGAAAGAGTATATATATATGTACTGACGGTTCGGCAGAATATAAATTTTAGATTGCCAATATATCTGTAGTAACTTGTTCACATCTATATTTATTAGGCGTAGATTATGTTTTATAATGATAACAGTCTAATAATTTGACTGTAGATATAATGACAACAGTCTAATAATTACTTTGGATTGGTAATTTTCTATTCAAGTCGAAAACTTGGTTATTCAACAAGCGATTTCTATATTGAGTTTCTTCACAAGATAAACCAAATGGGCTTCGTACAAGAGCCTCCTCAAAATCCAGTTTCTGCCTGATTCACGTAGTCCTTGTGTACTTCATTTAGATGGGCATATAAATGAACATCATTTTCTTCCTCCCCAGGGCCAGGTCTTTTGAGAGCTGTATACGTCGACTCTTCATTTTCCACTTCTTCATAATTCGCGTGATCATAATTTGCATCATCATTGTCAAGATTTTCATCAATTTCTTTTGAATTATTTCTGTCCTTGCACTTGTTCTCCAAGTTTGCCTTTGATGATTTGAGTCGCCGAATTTGATAAATGAAATAAGCAAGGGCAACGAGCAAAATTATCACGAGAATTATTAATACTATAATTCCAACAAGATATTTTTCACCATCTTCTGTACCTATGTTAAAATTAAACAACACGTTAACTTTGAATGTCTCAAAATGTGTTTCTTTGCTACGTAGATTACGTCTTACTTAAGTTCGCTAACATCCATTTTCATGCGGCAATTAATTTTTAAGTTAATTAAACATACTCCAAAAAGAAATCTTCTATAAACGAGACAACGTATGGTGCTTTTGTTCTAATGTCGTTATGTTTTATAGAATTTGTAAACAATATAAATCGTACTAAAATATCCGTACCTGCACTACGTCCTTCACTGCAGCCACCACTTTGCTTCTCATCATCAGGACCTCCCCCTGGTTGAGTGATTGCAGTTCCTTCTGTAGTTACCACGGACACATTTGTCAGGGGGGTGGATGACGCTTTAGTTGGCAGTTCATCTGTTTTGATAACATCCATCCAATCTGAATCGTAGTACAAATCCTAAACAAAGATGGTGAAAAATTTTCCTTGCACTCATAAAAAGTTCCGTTGTACCGAGATGTCACGGAGATACAAATTTCACGCTGCCAACTCAAACACGAATTATCTGAAGAAGACCATCAGCTACTCCGATGTTCACAGCTGTGCACTGGAATGCCCTGCCGAAGTGTCCGAAAGAAAGTCAAATATCGATTGATCAGTTTAGGGTTGTTCTTAATGCTTTCCCAACACTATCATGTATTCTGTTTAAGTTAAACCATATTTGGAACAAGCATCGAAGCTTTATTTAGAGCTTGAAATGTCCCCCGTAACAATGCGGAACTGCCAACTCTCATCCTTGTTTGACTGGGATTTAACACAAGTGATTTTATAATATCAGAATTGTCTTGTTCCATAATTATACCACGGTAGCATTCGGTGAAACCCACCAATACTTAACAAGAACAGATTCGGTCAGAACCAGCACAAAAATGAATCTCGTGTACCGCGGCCCCGAAATTTTTCTCAGATTACTCTCATATTTAGATTGAGATAATTTACCACTTACCGCACTTTTAAATGTTCTTTGAAAAACAGAGTAATACGTCTCTGGCTCCAATTGGACATTCTGATAGTTAGTGCTTCTTCTTTTTCTTTTTCTTGTGCCAGATGGAGCGTATTCCTTATCATCTCCTACTGTAAAAACACTGTTTTGATTGATGTTCGTTCCATCAATCTGTGCGGCTATGTATGGCTGGTTATCGACAGTGTTTTCATTGTACGGTATAAGGTCGTTTCCTGGATGTTCAGTTGGCTTTGTATTGTTTCGTAGTTTCGATACAATAATTTGAACATACCTAAACAGGTAAACAATATCTATGTCAAACCACGGAGTACATGCAGCTATACGGTGGAAGGTTCACTTTCTAGCGAGAGAGGAAACTGTAGGACCAGAATTTAGTCATTGTAATAAGACGTTCCTGGATCCATTTGAAAAAATTGAATGCCATTTATTTGATATAAAGCTTGTTAAAACTTATTAATAATTCATGAAGAAAATTATCGATTTTCTCAGATAAAACCAGTTTTTAAAATAATTTCTTAAAACACAACTGTTGAAATCCTTACGTTTCACAAGCTATAGACAGCATACAACCTCGCGTTCGGCTCGAGTTTGTAACTCTGATACAACACGGTCGCTCATGCTGTATTTATACTATATTACATATAATAACCATAACAACAACATATTGTGTTCTGTATAGCATCGATGTGCCTGTCATGCTGCATGCTTATAATTTCCCGTTAAGTAGAGAAAAACGTGAACTCACATATCATCTGCACTTTGAAGTGCTCCAAGTTTAACTTGAAAAGAGGTCGCAGATCTTATTCCTCTAACTTGCAACTGAAGTGGAGCTGAAATACAAAAGAATGATACAAAGATGCGAGTGCATGCACTATTAGTTTAGATCCAAAATAAAAATAAATCCAATTTCTTATACCCTATATATGGCTTCGAACGGCCAAAATGTCTGAAGAATAGTCAACTCTAAACAGGTCTTACATGTATGTGTTTGTTCTAGGTTCTGTTAAAACATAGCCTATCGAAGGGGAGATCGATGGCTGTGAAACTCATTAGAATAACAATATAACTCATTATCTGTGTTAGTCAACGTGTATTCATAAATATGGTCCTTCACCGTCACGTGTGTATTGTATTTTTGCCAAATCCACCAATAGCAATTTCCAGTTTCCCTATTGTTCGAGTCATGGATAGGTGACTTTCCTAAAACATTGCTATTGGTTAGTTGGGTAAAAATACAATACACACGTGACGGTGAAGGACCAGATTTATGAATAAACGTTGACCAACATAGATAATGAGTTATATATAATTGTTATTCTAATGAGTTTCACAGCCACCTCCCCTTCGATATAGGCTATGGTTAAAATTAGTACCACGATAAAACATTCGGATTCAAAGGAGTTTATAGGTATACTTACATTTGTAGCCGTGGGTATAACTAGCACGCTAATATCAACTTAGAATCAACAATTAAATAATATTGACAGATCTATTGATATGTTTCAGCAAGCGTTATGGGACAGTAGATATATAGTGGTCCATCTCAGAAAATGTTGACTAGTTATGGGAACAAGAAAATTGAACTAAATCACTCGATTCTATTTGAGACTGCTAGAAGTACAAATAATAAAAACATTAATATTATTTTCTGACTTTGATAACTGCATGTCGATTGACCACAGTCTGCTGCACCATAATGTCAGGAAATTATTTAGTAGTGAATAATTTTAGTTAAGATATCAGTAAATTCTAACCTGAGCGAGTTATGGCAACTTTTTGCCCTTTTCTACTAGGGGTTGCTCCATCACTAGTATATCGTACTACTGTTATGGTATACTTTGTCGCTGACTGCAGTCCCGGAATTGTTGTGCTTATAACTGTAGGTTTGAAATAAAATCCTTGATGACAATCTCGATCCGTTCCCCCAGCGGTTTTGTTCCAACAAATCTGAAACTTTGTCCTATCACCATTGTTGTTATTGAACGACCAAACTACTAGCAGTTCATGTTGACTTCTAACTTTGATATAAAGTATGTTTGGAGCAGCTTAAATATAAAAATGGATAAAATAAGGATTATATCATGAAAATGATTGTTTTAATACTCTACATGACAAATCCTGAACTTACTTATACAGGTAGAAAGAAATACTTAAAGTAACATGGATCTAAAATATAAACTGAAGCTTATTGTCTGTTGATACACCAAATAATGTATTTAATAATTCATGAAACAAATCATGAAACAAATCCCTGCTGATTTGCAACTCATCAACATTTTTTTACGCCAAACGCGACCGCTGATATGATGTATACTGCGAGGTATCGCTAGTGTCGTTGGACTTAGTTGAAATTTTTACTTTCTGTTATTTGATTATTTATTGCACGTTACTGCGTACTGACTTCGTACTGACAATGTGTCGTAATCTGCAGAACTTAACCAAAATTAGTAAGCATGCACGATCTAAAGTGCAGCGCCGGTGTGACGTTGGTTTCGTTCTCGCTACGGACTCAACACATTCATGTATGTAAAGTCAATCAATGCTCGGCCAGAAGTCGTGGGTTTTCTACAGCAGGATGGGTTAGGATACACATATTGCATTATCCAGCGTCAGCATTAGCTGCAGTTTAATAAGCTTGCAAAAATACCTGGAATGAGCTGGCAAAAATACCTGGAATGTTGCTTTTACATCTGTAGCGAACAAGTAAGATTGTATTTTTCAGACAACTCGAATTCGAAGGAAGGAAAACACCATCATTGACATTAAAGAAACAGTTCGTCCTTCCATCACATTCATTTTGCACCACACTCATTGCACTGGTTGACACACAATTTGTATCGCCTGCGGAAATTGCGAATGGATATTGGCGTGGGACCTTCACACCATAATTTGCCCAAATAACCTCGATTGTTGAACACGACTTACACTGGATATGTGCATTGTCCCCTTCGGAAAATTTTCTTTCATACACTAAAACAAATGTACAACACATGGAGTGTAAAGTTATAATAAAGTTCTATCCTTGTATATCTCCTACAAGTATAACATCCTGCTGATTTACATAAATTAATTTCGTTTATTTTATACGATTGTCTATTTGTCTTTATGTTTATTGAAGAATACGAACGTTTTCATCAAACCACATCACAAGCTATATACAGTATTCGCCTAGGAGTATATATATATATATATATATATATATATATATATATATATATATATATATATATATATATATATATATATATATATATATATATATATAT